CAGCCAAAAAAAATAAGAAGGAGGTCACCTACGTACTTATATAATCTTCTTGTGTACATTTTATCCTTACATGAAAGTAATTTGACAATAAATAATAAAAAATGATAGATTAGCGAAAAGTATATTTGGAACAGTGATTAAAAAAACTTTTTTCTGTCATAAATTTATGTCTGAGTATATGAAAATGAAATCTTTGAAAAGGGACTTCAAAAAACGCTGATCTAATTTCCTATAGAATGACTATAATAGCTGTTGGTGTACGTTACAGCTTGTGAAATCAATCGTCTTTAGCAAGGCGACAATTACAGTGTGAATCATCAGTAAGATTTTACACTACATATAACATGTTTTTAAGTGAGAGGCATATTCTGTAGTATATAACGTAAATTGTTACTACTGCTGATATTAAAAAAAAGAATGATAATCGGGATTAGTGGATATCAATCTTCCGTTCGTCGTCCTCTGGCCCTTGGACAGTCCATGTTTGTCTTATGTTTGGGTCTCATTCAGAAGTCTTATTAGGTTCACTAGTATTGGTTGTCTTTCTAAAAGAATTCAAAATATTGCAACTTCTGAGTGTAAAGGACATAAATAAGAGACAAATTTACCAGGTCGATCTCTTAGAGTTTCGATATTCTCCAGCACTCCGAGGATTAAATATCATCCCGGATTCATCGAAATGGCAAAATGTAACAAGAGAAACCTCAGGGGAGGCGTCTTCGGCCCATGTCAATTTATCTTCAAAACGACTAACCCGACTCTCTAGAGACTGAAGCTTAACTTCATCCTGTCGACACAGAGAATAGCTAAAGTTTCAGAATCACCATGATGCATAGACTGGAAGATAACTACATAGTGAAAGAGATGATGACACCTATGGTGGGAAGGAAGATACTACTTGAAAGACAGGTAGACGCATTACCGTGGAGAAGACACCTAGTGGCAGTGAGGAAGATACAACGTAAAAAAGACAGGCAGACGCCTCGTCTTGGAAGATACCTAATGGAAAAAAAGTTATCTACTGCTGAGATATACCTAGTGGAGAGGAAGTTACATGTATCTAGTGGGAAAGAGGAAGACATCTACTGGCGGAGATATACCTAGTGGAGAGGATGTTACAAGTATCTAGTGGGAAAGAGGAAGACATGTACTGACGGAGATATACCTAGTGGAGAGGAAGTTACAAGTATCTAGTGGGAAAGAGTAAGATTTAGCATGAGAGACAAAAAACTCACTTCTCTCCAATTATAACATAAGTATATTTGATAAGGAGAAAATAAAACCTTCCATCGATTTACAATCCTGGAGATAATCCCCTATCCCGCGCAGGATAATTTCTCTGACAACCCACTGAAGGATCAACCATTGAGGAATATTTCACCAAATATCTGTATTGTATTAGTAATCTAGTCATGTATTTTGAAAGATGTTTGATTCAGTTAGTCGGCAGATAATGCTACAGAGGCAATGTGGTCAATACTATGATATTAGATTTCTGAGTCACTGGTCACTGTTCTTTTGAAACCAATCAATATTGTTGATTAAGAAATCAATTGAATTTTGGAGTTATGTACCTCCTCATCCCCTCGCCGAGGTTTTCGTGAGCCAGTTATCTCAAACTGATCTCAGGTGAAAGAGGTTTGTGTTCGTTCTTGTGGCACTCCCTAATATTTATAGAGAATGGTCAGAAAATTGCAAAGACAGATTAAGTAAGAATGGGGTCTTCTGTGTATGTCACTTTCTTTAATGTTTTTTAGGTTAATCGACTCCTCGGTCGAAAAATTTCATGTACTAGCTCTTTTTGTAAATGTAGTGACCATTGTCAAGTGGAAGGTGCCATTTCTGTCAGCATACTTTGTTGAGAAGATTTGGATGTCCATCTTCTACTCCATCATACCCCTTATTCAGAATAAATCAGAGTAACGTTATCCTTCTCTGGTTATGACAAATTTATTTTAGAAGTAATGTGGTACAATAGTTGAGTCATTCTAAGATTTGACCTCGAACTATTTGTAGAATAATTCTTGTTTTTTTTTTTTACATATATATACCAAGATCAAGGTCAGTCGTTTAGAATCAGTATCGAGTTGTGCTTCAGGTTCAGGTTTACGTGGATAAAAAGGAGATTGTGGACACTGTGCTTTCTTAGTGTATCGAGTGCATATACTGACAAACAATAGTACTGGGACAGAGAGTTCTGATTACACAGATATAAATACCCATTGTGTATGGTTTACTTAAGTCTATGTTTACGTCTACGTAGCTATGGTTACTAAGTTATTATTAAATATAAAGTGTTTTGGTCATCATCATGATCTCAATGGGAAGTATTCAGGATATCTCTGTGCGATATATAGGTGATGCTCGTAAATACAATGTAGGCGTTTTGGCTTCATTGTTACAAACATGGTTCTCATTTAAGGCCGTCGTGTTTGGTAGACTCGTTATATTTGGTTTTGTTATCAATGTACTTTTTGAGAGGTCTTTTTCTCTTTATTTTTTGTTCATATTTTGCCCTCGTTTCATCCATCTTAAATTGGAATCAATATTCTGTAAGCATGTCGGTGGGAGCATGGTATTGTGTATGATAATTCAAAACCAACAAGCCAAAGCTTCCCATACGATCAACTTTAACCGGAAGTTATCACAGCACGCAATGAGGACTGTCGACCAATTGAATAGATTAAAAAATGTATTGACCGACAAAATACGTTTTCTAACCTTCATGTGGAAATGAAATCATACTAGAAGTCTTAAATATGTCAAATAAATTTAACAAACATATACGTTAATAGTTTGAAACGTATTTTGAAGAAAAGGTTGAAAAATTACATTTTAACCATTCAAGATTAGAGCATGTTTGATGTACCTGGTTTCCGGTTTAATATTCGGGAGATTTTATCACTTTCGTCACTTTCGTCACTTTCCGTGAACGAGAAATACATCGTCTCTTACACGGAAGCAGCCGAAAGGTCCCGATTTGGCATCTCCTAACTACAATCAAACTGCATGATGTGGATGTTCTTTCGATTAGGATCAAGTATTTGAATATTTAGTGTTTACAACTTTACCCTCCGAGTTTAGTCTATTAGGACAAGTCAACATTGCTTAAAAACTGTTCTAAAGCATTTTATTATTTGTTAATTAACAGAACGAAAACTCTAAATGGCAAAGAGAAAAGAAAACGGTGGGTGAGAAGATTCTGATTTCAATAAAGAAAACTGGTTAAACATATAAGAACCGCCTTTTCAAATTGTGAAAAACAAGTGTTACCAATGTAACCACTAAATAACCTTCTGATCATGTTGATGTATTGTTTTCTAGAAGAAAAAGAAGAAGAAGAAGAAGAAGAAGAAGAAGAAGAAGAAGAAGATGATGATGATGATGATGATGATGATGATGATGATGATGATTTGTTAAAATCTTACGAAATATAAAACAAATATTAAAATAGATTTAGATTCCTAGAAAGTTGAACTTGCTTTTAAGAGATCTATCAATAATGTTTACCTGGTCACACGGACTGGACATATCCACCAATTTTTTTGCTCCAGAAAATTATGTCTTTTTTTTTAATACTGAAGACGTTATCTATCTTGGTTTTCGGCCAGTCTGTGTTTAATGTGTTTGGGACCATTGCTACCTTGGAATGTTTGTCTTTCTTGCATCAAAAAGCGACTTTTAGAACCTTTGGAAAACAAACACTGAATTATGCTCTACCGTGTGACAACTGTTCAGCGACATACTTATTTCTAGTACCTGTGTGGTTTTCACCTGTACAGGCCAGACTGTACCTATGTTTTACCACCACTATTGACTTTGATCTGACCATGGGTAAAGAGGGAGCAAGAAGTTGTAGTTCGAGTGCCGTTAAGACGACAGAGGAAAGATTAGAGGAAATTACAGCGATGATCTCCATTATTGTGACAAAAACCGAAATAGACAAAAAGATAGAACATATCACAGATACGACGGAGGAGAAGTTTGCTAGACTAAAGGAGGATATTCGGAAGGAGAATCGTGAACTGTTGGATAAGTATGAAGGGAGAATATTTCAACTCGAGAAAGAAAATGAGGAACTCCGACAGACTGTTGGAAACCTAGAAACTATGTATGGGACTTCAGGAAGCACATAAGGAAGCGAACAGTAGATACAACAACCTTAAACAACAGGGGCGGAAAAATTCGGTTCGTATCTTCGGTTTGGATGATCCGACAGAGAAAGAGACAGCTGAGGAATGCAAGGAAAAAGTGACCAGTCTTGTTAACTCGAAGCTTAAGTTGGCACTCAGCGGCGATGACATAGATATAACTAATATGAATGTGGCTGATTAATATAAAATATCTATGCATGTTTGGAAAACTGGAATGAATGATCTTTTTTCTGTACATTATGTATTACTGTCATGTGCGAACGTCCTTTGAAAAAAATGAATAAAATATGAGTTATATAAAAAAAATATTGTTTACCTGTATTACGAGTAACAATAACTTTGTTTACTCCATGCACTGCTTCCGGTTTTGATTGTCTGTATAACTTACATGTATAAGATTTCTAGAGAAAGGTCATTTGCTGTAATTTAAGCTTACATGTATTACTATGTAATTAGTCAAAACCTTAATTTGCAAGCCATGTTTCAATTCTTACTTTGGAAAATGACCTCTTGTTTCACGCTACACGCGTGAATGAGTGGAACAAATTAATCTGAATCTGAATCTATCGAAATATTTCATGATGATCGATCGCATACACAAGTTTTTTTTTAATAACAGGGCATAAGGTGTGTAGGAGTTACTTCCCGTGGATCAGGGTGTCGTAAAAAGGAAGCAAACATTCAGATTAAATAAAGGCTTTATTGTTGACTAAACAAAATAACTAACTTGTTTTCTTTGAATTACATGCAATTTTTTCATATTTCTTCTGAATTTAATTGTGAGTATGAAAATATGCGACATACACCACGACTAAATTACGGAAGTTGTAAGAAATATGGCCGCCAAAATTGAGAGAATCTAAGGGAAATTGTCCGCAGTTGGATTTGTGTGTGTTTTCTATGAATTAGGGGAAGGTACTCGATATATTTTTGTATGTATTCGTTAAGTACCTATTCCACATTTGATTTTCGTCCGGAATTATTGTTGTTACTTTGCCAAGTATGTAATATCCTTAGAACTATAACCTTTGACTCGGGGGGAAAACGTGCACCGTACGTTATGCTATAGTCATGCGATAACCTAATACAATATGCCGATAACCTAGTTATTTATAAGGATATGTAACTACGTACCGTCAAAGTGCGTTACAGACATTATCTAGACCTGTTGAGAGTTGGTACTGGAAATAGCGAACTAACAGCAGAAAATTGGAGATTCAAATAACCGATAATATTTTTGAAAGTTTATAGTGGAAAATAAAACTTCATTAGATATTATGGTGTGAATAGCTGTGCTACAACCAGTTCAGGTATTTGTGAGGATTACAGAATGTTAAAGCCAAAAGTCCTGACCTATTTGTAACTTTACTGACTGCTACACATGGAATTCAGTTATTTATTTTTTTGTCCTTCCCAATAAAATCTTGAAAAATAGTGCTTTAGGATTAGACGGAGAAATCTTGTGAGTCAAATCAAAACGAAAATTTTCTTATCTGTCATACATTTTAAACAATGCAACATAACTTGTAATGTACTATTAAAAGTGACCGCTATTTCATGTTGAAGTTACATGTGCATGTACGAGACCTAAGGTATTCCTCTCGAGGAAGCTATTTGTTGTCATTTTAAAGCAGTTTGGTATCAACAGCACATTATTATTATAAAATTCTGTGTTCTATTATTAACTAAATATTTCTCAATTACTATTTAAGGGAAACCTAATACACCCTTACTAGCTGTCCAATGGAGGAATCTGATTTTGAGGCACAGCTTGTGCAGGAAAAGATAGAGGAAGAACAGAAAAAAAGAAAGACTAAGGTTGATGATGATGGGACTGAGTATGAATGGAATGAGGAAAAACAGGCCTGGTTTCCAAAGGTATTTTAACAATATGACATGTTTCTTAATGAATACTTCTAACAGAAATACTTCTGATTATATAGAGATAGCTATGAAGTTTGATTGATGATACAAGCATGTATACATTAATGTGTTGACTGAATTTGTTTTTTTCTTTATTTTTGCTGGTTATAGATTGATGATGATTTCATTGCCAAATATCAGATGGGCTATGGCACTTCTGCAGAGACAGGCTCTGTAACTTCTGATTTCCCTGCCGCTCCAGCAGACATCAACAGCCTTGAGTACAAGGAGTGGTATGAGCAATATTGTAAGAAATATTATGGGGATCAGTGGGCCCAGGGTGAAGAAGCTGCAGGAGGTGTAGAAGCGAAAGTTAGTGGAGAGGAAGGTGGTGATCATTCAGAAGATGAAAACAGTGATGAATACAGGAAGAAATATTTTGATTACTACGCATACTACTATGGACATGATGAAGCAGTGGCATATTGTGGTTATGATTATTATAATCAAGAAAACTCGGAAGAAAAGGCAGCAGATGAAACTCAACAGGATAAGAAGGGAAAGAAAAGAAAAAAGGCAGCAGAACCAAAAAAACCAGAAGAACGTAATAAAAAATGTTTTTCCTATCAATTAATAAATCTTCACTCTCCAATATCCTTAGGTTTCATTCTTGTCAAAATTGATTCTGAATACCATTAAACTGATCATTGTTAGAGTTAGGGTTATATCAGTACTTTGAAGGTTGAATAGAACTTGCCGTCGTGGAAATCAAGGGCTGTCTTACAAATATACTGCTGCTTGATTTATCATGGTATATGTTTTGTCATGATATTTCAACATTGAAGAGAAGATACCTATGTACATATTTTGTTTATTGTTTTGTAAAATCAATAATATTCTTTGAAATTAATGTTTGTTATCTTTACTGAATAATTGATATCATTGTCTTCACTTTTCTTGATTTTAATTTTTCTACACATGTATTTGTATAAAATATTTTGTCTGATAATTGTAGCTCCATCCTGGTTTGAGGTTGATGAAACAAAGAACACCAACGTATATGTGTCTGGGCTGCCACTTGATATCACTGACGAGGAATATCGCGAATTGATGAGCAAGTACGGCCTCATAATGGCCGACCCTGTCACCCGTGGCCTAAAACTCAAACTGTACAGGGACAATGAAGGAAATCCTAAAGGTGACGGACGTTGCTGTTATATAAAGGTAAGGTCTACCTGGTTGAGGCATCCAAAGTGAATAGAAGACCATTACATTATATTAAGGTGTAAAGCCACTTTTCTTAAACACTTGAATCCTTTGATACAGTTTGAGGGAAAATGGACAAAGGGAGATAATTGCATTGTTTTCAATTTTGATATAGGTGGCAATATCTGTGTTAGTAGGAGTTAAGAAAAATAACTGAATTACTAACCACGGTCATTAATTCATTTTTTAAGATGTGTTAGTAACAAAGATTTTCTATTGTGTGAAGGTGGAGTCTGTGGAACTAGCAAGGAAGTTTCTGGATGACTCTGAATTAAGAGGTCACAAGATAAAAGTTGAGCTGGCTAAGTTCACTATGAAAGGTGATTTTGATCCCAGCAAAAGAAGAAAAAAACTCAGCAACAAAGACAAACGGAAGTTCAAGGAAAAACAGGAAAAGTAAGAACAAGTTTTGTCTTTTGTTTTATTATTGCATTCACTATGATATGTAATTATGGTTCTTAAATATCAATTAGATGCATGTTCCTTTTTTTGTTATTCATTAACTAATTTATCATGAATGCTAACTGTCTTGTGATAAATGAGATATCTTTACCTATTCTTTACTTCAAAATGACTGTAAGTTCTTGGAACTTTCATGACATTAACACTTGGCTTAAGGAAAACTGTAGCATACAAAATCTATAAGCCATTTTTATATTTTACCTTTTAAAGATACATTTTTATGATGGTGGGCTATTCAGATTGCTCTGCGTCCATGGTCTGTGGTCTGTTCAGGCGTCCATCCGTTAACAATTTTTGTTATTGCTATTTCTTGAGAAGTCCTGGATGGATCTTTCTCAAATTACATATGTAAGTTTCCCTTGGTCTCTAGTTGTTCCCGTTTGATGTTGGGACTGACCAAAAAACAAAATGATTGACAGGCAGCCATCTTGGATTTTTTCAATGATCTCTCTCAAATTTCATATGTAGGTTTCCCCAATGTCCTTAGTTGTGCCCATTTAATTTTGGGTCTGATCAGGAAAACAAAGTTGAAAGGCGGCCATCTTGGATTTCGAATTTGAAAGATTTTTATTGATATTTCTTGAGAAGTTCTTGATGGATCTTTCATAAATTTCATATGTAGGTTGCCCTTGGACCCTAGTTGTGTCAATTTGATTTTGAGACTGTTGGGAAAAACAAAATAACCGACAGACAGACATGTTAGATTTTGACTTCGAAAGTTTGTTATCACTATTACGTGAGAACTACTGTATAGATCTTTCTCAAATTTCATGTAAAGGGTTCTTAATGTCCCTAGTTGTGCCTGTTTAAGTTTGGGACTGAGCAGAAAAAAAAATGGCCGACAGGCAACTATCTGGGATTTTGTCTAGTAAAGATTGTAATTGCTCTTTCTGAAGAAGTACTGAATGGATATCTCTCACATTTCATATGTATGTTCCCTTTTATCTCTCCTTGTACTCGTTTGCTTTTGGAAATGATCATAAGAAACAAAATGACTTCCAGGTGGCCATATTGGATCTGGCAAGTTAAGGTTATTATTTATTTCTGCAAAAAAATGTTCAAATATCTTATCATTAAGAGCAAAAACAGGGAAGAGAAGAGAAAAAAAGGTAAAAGATCCAACTTTCAAAAAGCATATAAAGATCAAACAATGGTGGGCTCTAGGATCCTGCTGGGATCTCTTGTTAATTTCATATGTCTCTGTGAGTGAGATTTACCACATAACAGTGATTGTATTAGAGAAGAGGGAATAACTTCACAATATAAATTTTGTAGGGTGTTCAAAAATTTCTCTCAAGTTTAGGATAGTACCTTGAAAAAAATTACAAATATAAAAAGACCTGGAGAACTGGACATTTGCCTAAGATATTTGTTATTGTTTTAATGTATCTCTTTATTGAAAATGAATTAGTCTTCCCATAGGGATATATGTAACTGTGTTCTCTACGCTTGCAGCTTCAATTAATTTCTCCGAAAATTTGGCCAAATTGAAGTTAGTTATGAAATTTAGGCATGATATAGTTCAGAGTTTGATTGAGTAAATGACTAATCATATTTATCACAGAGGAACTAAATGATTGTTTGATATCCAGAATTTGATTTTAATTTCCAATTTTTTCTTATGGTCATCTTTCATAAGTGCCTTAGGTGGTCGGTTGGTGCAGTGGTAACGCACTTGCCTTTTACCTAGCCATCCGGGGTTCGATCCCTGGAATGGACGTGAAAAGGTAAGGGGTCACCTGCCTGACCATGTGAGTTTTCCCTGGGTACTCAGTTTTCTTTGCACAATAAGACTCCTCGCACGCTTACATCCCGGCCAACAAGAGTGATTAGTATAAGTTGAAATAACTTGTTTCGCGATTGTTGTAAAATGAATAAAGTTTATGTCTCTATAAGTGCCTTAGAGATGAAGTTAGCATTAGTGCTAAATAGATGTTTGAAATGAATATTGAGCTAGCAGTAATTATGTTGATGTGATAAGCAGGATACATCAACTTATTGAAATCTAGATAGGATTTAAGTTATATATGTAGGTTTTACATTACTAAACCCCCAAAATAAAGATGGGGAGTTGTGTTGAAGTAGTAGGATCATACTGCCTAAGGTGACTTGATTTTTTATCATGACACTATTGTTGAAAATTTTAATGGCTTTTTCCTTTCACTGATTACACAGATTGTTTGACTGGAGGCCAGAGAAAAAAGACTTAGGACAAGGTCCCATGCGACCAAAGAATGAAAAAGTTGTTGTCTTGAAGAATATGTTTGATCCAAGTGAATTTGAAGTAAGTACTTATGTACCATGCTGTTATCATGAAACAACTGAAAAAATTTTATGTCTTTTTTTTTCTGATATCAGATACTGAATCCAGGGGTAAGTGTTGATAGAAGACCATAGTTGTTGAAAGGTTTATAGAAGATTGTGTGTCTAAAAATAATCCAGCCTTATATCATAAAAGATATTAAGACTAAGAAACTGAGAGAAAAGGCTCTTGACACTCGGAATAAGATAGATGGAATATCCAGTTAATGATAAATTCAAGATATTTTCTATGAATTTTAGTTACTGAAATCATCACAAACGTAGATCTGAGGATTGTCTCCCTTTTGATCAAAGACATTTTAGTTGGATGCTTAATGAAGGTTATTTCCCTTTGTACAGTTTCAGTATTTCACTAGGCAGAGTTTGCTCCATAAAGATGGTAGCACAGATTTAAATAAGCATGTGTTATGATACTGATATGCCAGGTATATATCCCTACCACATCCTTAACTTGGTCGGTTGCTCATGAAATTAGATACCGGTAGTATTTGTCTCTTCTAGAATCTGGCTGGAGAAATTAGTGAAAGCAAGAATATATTTCTTTGTTGATTTTTGTCGGTGAAATAATATGTAAAAAAAAATCTCTTCCTTGAGTCTGTAAAAGAAATAGCAGGAAATGAATCACTTTTGTATTTCTTAATCTTGCAATTTTTGTTTGTGAAATATTCTTTTTAAGTAGTTATGGACCTCTCTCTGGATTCTTGTTTGTGAAATTAGATTGTGTATGTTTTGTTTTGGATTCTGTTTAATGAACTTTGTAGGTATGGATCTTTTTCTGACTCTTGGTACAGGAAATAAGTAGTGCAAAATTGCTTCACATTTCATTTTGGTTTGTGAAATTAGCAGTGTTGCATGTCTCTAGGGTTCAGGATTGTGCAGTTAGCTAGTATGCATCTTTTTCTTTGTTCTGGTTCATGAAGAGTTCAGGTCGCGATTCTAGTTAATGTAAATGGTAGATAAATATATGACTTAATTGTATTTGTGTAGCAATTAGTAAGAAGAAATCACTTTCTGATTTACGCAATTAGCAGATGTGTTTTCAGTTTGATTCTAAGTCATGAAATTAGTAAATATAATCTTTTTCTTGGCCTGAGTTCGTGAAATCAATAAGAATACATATATTTCCTTCTTCTGGTTCGTGAAAGTAGAAGGTATACACCTCTTTCTGGCTTCTGGTTCATTATATTCGATGGTATACATTGCTGTCTTTTTTTTCTGGTTCCTGAAGTTAGAATGTATACATCTCTTGATTCTGGTTAGTAAATTTAGTAGCTACATATCTTTTTGAGGTTCTGTTCCTGAAATCAATAGATACAGATCTCTTTTGAGATTCTACTCAAAATGATACAACTCAGAACTGTATTATGTTGAAATGTTAAAAAAATCAAGCATTGTTGAATGTGAACTTGGAACTTTACATAACATGATGAGCTTACATTAAAGGTGATGATAATATAAGAGACATAAATTGATTAAGTAAGACTGACTTCATTATTTGTGTGTGCTGAAGAGCTGAAGATTGTACAGTGATTGCCCAGTTTTGGATCTTTTTATTTCAGTTTCTGGTTTGTTCATTTTTTACCATACCACTTAGATATCAAAACAAAATTCTGTGACACTCCAACTGTACTATAAATGATTTACTGAAGCACTGTGTAAATGTACATTCATTGTGTCAATGCAATTCCAACCATAATTTGGTAATATCTGATGATCCCTACTCTCAGGAATCATATAAAACACAAAGGGGACAAAATAGATTTGACTGACAGTGATGCCAAAAGACTCCTCCTCTGCCAGAATCACCAATTTTGGCACTCATGATTCACTGAAATATTCTTGTATCACTTTAGACCTGCAAGTTAGTGTTTAACGGATAGCAGTAATGAAACAGGAGTTGATGATATAAAAAAAGTAACTTCATAGGAATTATGGTTTTAAGTTATTGCAATGATTGAATGAATTTACCATGATATTCATTTTTGTATGTGTACCACTGGTTTGAAGTGCAATATTTTTGTAAGAAATGTTGACAAATCCAGAATTCTGAAGATAGAAGTAGTTTCTTTACAGTGCTTATCATATATTACCAACATTTTTTTTCAATGGAAACTTCATTAAAAGTTACATATCTTTAAAAAAAATTCTATGATAATGCCATCATAATGAAAAATAAACTAAAACCAACATCTAGCATCTATTACATTGTAATCACTTAGCTGTTTGATTACAGACTGAGGGGCTGATACTGTTAATTATGTTGACACTGAAAATTAATATACATTGTATATATTGTATACTGAAGTGTTGGTCCTGTAACCATATACCAAGATTCTAGACCTGTTATTACTGGACACTTCCTGTTATCACATTCTTTATATGTACCCGCTTTATACACGTGGTGATATACCAAGATTCTAGACCTGTTATTACTGGACACTTCCTGTTATCACATTCTTTATATGTACCCGCTTTATACACGTGGTGATATACCAAGATTCTAGACCTGTTATTACTGGACACTTCCTGTTATCACATTCTTTATATGTACCCGCTTTATACACGTGGTGATATACCAAGATTCTAGACCTGTTATTAATGGATCATATTCTTTATATGTACCTGTGTTATCACATTCTTTATATGTACCCGCTTTATATACGTGGTGATATATCAACGTCCGACTTATTTCCGGCATCGAAGGAAATTCTCCGAATTCAATATCATATTTAAACGTGAAACTCAGTTTTAAAAAGCGCTTTAAGCAGTATAAAAATATGACAACTATCATCACACAAGAACGAAGTTCCAACTGAACGTTAATGTGAACAGCGAAAATTTTATTTCCCTAAACAACATGATTAGTGTTATCAATGTATCCTACAGATGATATCAACATACCCTGTCATGATTAACACCGTAAAGTATTCCCATCGTCACACGTAGAAAACCTTAATGATTGAAAACTTGATCAATAGTCGAATCTAATATTGTTTAAAACTGAATTAAAAGTCGAATCTGGTGTCGTTTATTACCTCATTACTATTGGGGAGTTCATAAATATACATAAATATTAAATAACTTGTAAGTTCTGCTTCCTCAACAGATTTCGTGTTTATAAGATATTTTGTGAAATTTACCATTTGTCTTGTGCACTTAATATTTACAGCCTGTAAGAATCAAAGCTCATATCCTTTCGCAGGACATTTCTTTACTGGAATTCATACCAACGATCTTTGCATTGAAATGCTGTAAATTCAACGGAAACATCGCCGACCAAATGTTCGGACGAAATATAGATTGAGTTATATAAGCTATTTAATAATGTAATGCACGCAGCGATCGGTAATTCAAATACATAAGAGGAACATAGTTTGAAAAAGACTGGCATCGACCAAATCTGAGAAATAACTTAATTTGATGATGAATCGACACGTTGTATTTTCGATTCTGTACCTTATACTCTTAACACAATTCAGCTTTATTTATTGTTATGACCTTAAATTAAGAACTGCGATTGAAAATAAGTAAAGTCGTGAAACTAAAAGCAAAACGGCCGCTTTAAGATATTTTAAGAATGCGAAATGCTTTTGATAGAGGCGAATGACATTATTGACTTGTAGTTTCCCATATCAACTGAACCGTTCTAAACTGCATGGCATTTCTACGTCAGGGGAGGCTACTTGTGTCAAGTGGCCCCGGATCAGCACCGCTAGCAGTGACAAATTGACCTTGTCAAGTACCTGACTTACTTCAAAGGGAAACATCTCGACATGAATACACCCCTAACCTGCATATTGCTGTGTTGGTCAAATTACTTACCTCCCACAGCATATTCAATCTCACGGAGACGAATTTGAGTGTCTCAACCGACTTTATTTGATGTTTACTCACAAATGTTGACAAATATTATAAAAGATAACAGAACCGGCATTGGAAAAATAAAGCAGTACCAAAATCTGGCTACGAAAAAATATCATGTTTTTATAATTACGTCCGTAATATTACTTCTCTGATCACAAACCAATTAGTGTTGGAATTAATTTTAACATCTACTGACCTCCGTCTTCTCTAATCACGAACTCGTTAGTAGTTTTTGACTCACAGACAATTTTGTGTGGATTATGATTAAATGCGATAATAATATTGGTTTGCCGGGAGCACTTTCTAACAACCCATATTTGATTTCGTTCTCTCTTTGTCTTGCAATTTTTGAACAGGACTCTTAAAGATAAACAAATCATATAGAAAAGATAGTAAAAGTATACCTAATTTTCAATAAATCTTACTGTTTGTGTCCTCTGTATGAATAGCTGTTTGTATATTTTATGACCACCGGTTACTAACAGGTATCAATTGCATCTCTTGTTGTGAACGTTGTCTGGTTCAATATGGGAACAAGGAATAAACTAATCCAGCGGTATCAATGGTAGTTAAGATACTTCTCGTGTTGACCAGGATTTCCCATCTGGTCAAGGACAATACAGCTGTCTATTAAACACAGAATATATAAGATCGTCTGATGTAATAAAAAAACATTAGCGCGTGTGTTACACCACCACCTGCACAACGAGGAGGATAGACGACACTAGTCTTCAAGTCATCAGAGGTAAGAGAGCGGTTGAAGGGGGTATTATCTGACATTGAGGTAGATTCAAGCAATATCTGTCGCCGTACGATGTAGTGTTGGTAAACTTCCGTTCACTTCTCATTGGAATAACACTGCTGAGGTCTCGGTGATACATGATATTAACAGTAAACACGTGTTGGTGTTACTGTAAGGCATTCTGGATTAACTACTACTTATATGTGGCAATGCATTACATTGTCACAAAAACCTCTAAAATCGTTTTCAAGTATATGTATAGTTATTCTAATGTTTTAAGTTCGTGAAAAAGAAGTGGTTCAAAATTTCAAATTATCGGATTTGATTGCACTGAATAAGTGTATATTGTTAATTAT